CCCCCCCCCAAAAAACACAAGCAATCCCTGGATCCAAAACAAATCAGTCTTTCAGACTGAAATGGGGAGACTTAAATTCACTAAGAACAATAAAAAGTCTAAATAACAGTGATTTGTGCCTGTAGTTTTTCAGGTCTTTTCATTCAGGTCCTGTGATTATTACCTAATCAGAGGTCAATGACTACACAAGCTGTGATAAGAATAATAAACATGATCTGTGCGTCAGCACCGGAAACATAACCACAAGATTAAACTGGGTAGCATCATAAAGAGGCCAATTAGAACATGGGCTCGGAAGATTTAGAGTGCCAGAGATAAAGAAAGACACCAAAGAAGACGTGAGAAAAGAATAATTAACAAGTGCAATGATCAGTGTGGTATCCTTGTTGGGAAATTACAAATTTAGCCTTAAAAACAATCTGTTCCGATTTGCCTTTCTAATGCAATGAGTTCATGTCCATGTGAAGTTAAGACAAAGACAGAAGCCACATGGTCGCTCAATGAAATAAAGGCAGTGAGGCAGCACCGAGGGTTTGCAGGCATCCAGTAATGGGAGCAGGTTGTTGGTCACTTTACCTTTTGACTGTCCAGCCTCAGCCAGTGGACACCCTGTCTTGTGTAACAGACCATAGAGCTCATACTTGAAGTGAGGCTCAGTGGGCCCATAACTGTGTCCAGCTCTGTTAGCATACCTAAAACACACATTGGAAACATTACTCAGCATAAATATTCAACATGGTCCATTTACCTTCATTAACAAGGAGGGTTATAAATAACATCTCAAACATAAGCTGCTCCCTCATGGCAGCTATAAGAAGTGCATAAGAACACACCCTGACTTTTACTTCTGAATATTTCTAATGTTCTGGTGCTCCCTTTCCAAGGCTCACTGGACATTTTACAGTGTCCTGTAGAGTCTGACCCCGGTACCACTATCTTTGGCATTCTCTCCTGTCCAGGACCAAACAAGGTTGACCTCCTTACTAGCTCCACGTTATCCCATTCCCACTGGACTGGGGACTAGGTCTGAAACCTGAAAGAATCACCTCTCCCACTTAAAAGTCAATGAATATCTTATTATTAAAAGGTGCGGCTCTTTTTTGAGAAACCTGAAACTCATAAATCAACGTCCAACGTTACAGATTCACATTCTCGTTTTGAAATTTTAATAACACATTTTAACTCCAATACATCTCTACACACATATGAACGTCTCCACACCATGGTGTGCATCATGTAAAACACCTTCTCTTTTCCATCCAGTCTTACCGCTGCCATTGTGCGCCAGCTCCTCCGCCTGCTCCCACATGTCATGAGCGCTCAGGAACAAAGAAGTGATGTTGACATAGGTGAGCACAACTTGTTCAATAACCCGAGGAACTGCCACAATGCTTCCAGCAGGGTCCACAGCCGACCCACTGCCTGCTCCAACGCTGAGGTTGAAGCCAAGGCCTGAGCTGGTGGATGTGTTGACTGGTGACGGCATGCTGGGCACAGGGGATGTGGTGTCTGTCACTCTATAGAAGACAGGTTGGGGGGGGGGACAAAGTGGACTATGACAGCTTAGTGCTATATGCACAAACAGCAGATGTGTATGTAAACTAGAGGACTTACTTTGAAGTTAAGACAGAAGGATCGTGTGTAGCCTGAGCAGAGTTCTGCAAGAGATGCTTAATCAGCAAAACAAAATATTAACGGTAATGTGCGGACACACTTTCCGATACCTTAATACTTACGTTGAAGTGATCAGTGAGCGTCTTGGAATACTTGAGTGCAGTTTTGTGTTTGTGGCGAAACATAGTCATCTGCAGCAGAGACTGGCACTTCAAGCTACAAGACAAGAAAATATTATTCATAACAGAGTATGTGCTCTAAATCATAAAGCAAATATATTAATAGTGTTAGTCTCATTAAATCCTGGTTTCAAAGACCTTAAACATGAAAAATTTAAAAAGGCATAAGGTAAAAAAAAAAAACTAACATATAAAACAAGGCCTTAGGTAAGACAAGACAATCTCAAAACATATTGGCAGTAACAGAGTAGTCCTTGAACAAAAATATTACAAAAGCAAATAGTCATTTGAATTTTTAAAATGAATTCATAACGGGCCTGTACAGAATCATATGAAACTATGAAAAAAAATGTTTTTTTAACATACATTTCTCTCATCCCCTATGGTATATAATCTTTTTGTGACCCTGACATTTTTTAAAAGCCATGCAAAAGCAAAATAATATTTGTTAAAGGAACTTCTCATTTAACACCACTTTCACTAATGATATACATGTTTTCAGAAACAGGATTAATTCAGTAATGAAAATTAGTAAATATTATACTGATTTTATGTTCATGCAGAACATGATCTACACTAAAATGCAAAGAATGTTCAGATGTGTAGACAATTTACCAAACAAAACAAATTTAGCTAGTATACACTAATGTTTCGATAAATACCTAAATAAAAATATTGTATATGTTCTTTCATTTCTTGTTTTTCATATTTGTGAGAGCAGACTATTTGTTGCAACTCTGTAAATTGAGAACTTTTATTTTAGTTTTCACATGCAACAATTTGGAGATTTCTCCATTTTCAGCTAATTTAACATTATAAATCAAACGTATAGGACTTGAAATCAGTCAGATGGGCAGAAGTATTAACCTCCCTACAGCACAAAGAATCACCTAGACCTCACCATAAAGCTAAAAAGTCCTTTTCTGAGGATGGAGTTGAGGGATCCACCAAGGTTTTAAGTTTCAGCACAAACCTGTGAAAGTGGAAAATTTGGCAGTTAAACTAAAGCATGAATCTAATTTATTAAGGAGCCAAATCTGTCATGTTACAACTCGGTGTGTGTAATACAAAAAGGTAGAACAGCCAAACCTGCAAACTAATAGGTACAAACAACCACTACAGCAGCAGTGCATGTTCTTACTTGAGCAGTTCTACTGTCTCTGAAAACATGGTGTAGGAAGACCCTGAAATCTGTGGATCTTTCTCCATGGCAATGCCACTCTCAACAAAGTACATGGCTGCATCCAGGTAGGTGAAAGCTTTACTAAGCTTATCAGACTATAGAGAGAGAACAAACAAACAATTCACTTAAGAGTTACTGTGCATACAAAGGGGAAATGTTATTAAAGTGAATGCAAAACTAACAGGAGAAGAGAAACCTACCTCTGCATCTGCTCTGTGCTTCAGACGTTTGGCCTCCTTTATGTAATACTTCACCGGATACTGCCTGTAGGCAAAAGAAGCAGGATTAGGTAAATAACAATAATATATAGCTAACAGTTACTGAAAAATAAATTCACTAAAAATAAGAGTAAGAATAGAGTTTACTAGTATAGTACAATTTTTAAATGTCAAAGTAACTAAATGACCATACCATCTGACCAATCTTTTCACCCCCCTCCCCTCTCCTAAATATTAATATCCCACACACAAGATTTTCTGTGCTGTAAAACTGCATACTGACTCCAGAGTTGGTCAGGAGAGCTGTCCTTACAGGCATTAACAAACACACATACACAACCAGACAACACCTGCTAACAGAGGAAATGGCACATTTTGGGGAGAAAATTCAGCTTGGTCCAGATACAAACAGGTTTTGGGGGGTGGGGGTGGTGGGATACAAACTGACAGTAAATGTTGGAACAACATTTCCAACCCAACAGGCCTCCAGAAAGGAATCTTACCGGTCTTCAAATCTGAGCAAAGGCCTGTTGGTCAAAGCTTCCCTGCTGAGTTGTGAGGCTGACGGGATGGTAAGGCTGACCTTTGGTGGCTTCTGCTAGGATAACAGCATTTGGTTAAGATGTGAACAATATCTACAGTTGTGTAAAAGGGAAAAGAAGCAAGGCATTAATTTAATATTCATAAGCTCACAGTTACCTTTGCATTGTTTGAGTGATCTGGGTGTTTTACACTGCTCTTGTGCTTGCGGGAGTCCTTGCTCTTTGCAGCGTCCTTACTGGACTGCCTCTCCCCAGAGTTGCATTTATCCAACTTTGAATCTTTAGCAGTGTCCTTAGGCATCAAAGGCTGCTGCACGAGTACCAGATTTTTCTTTGCCTTTTTTCTCCCGCGGTGCTCCGCTGGATTGTTGGAACTCCTGTAAGCAAAAATTAGACAATTTGTGTGATCTGCCTGAACTGGCTCACACAAAGCGACAGTGAAGAGGACATTCAATTTAATAACATTGTTATTTCTGGTAAAAACAAGCACTGAATGCCTCTGATTTAGGGGACCTACTCCAGTTTGATAGAAGCATGAGTTGAGGAGGTATTCATGTTTTCCAGCTTTCGTCTTTTCCTCACGGGACTTTTCTTGTCTACCTCTGCCTAGAGGACAGCAAATCACATTGAAAACAGAGGGTTTTCACCATGTAAATGTATCCATGCTAACTAGAACTGCTCTAGACCCTCATTTCTTACATTTTGATGTATATTCTTTGTGCAGGTTTTAGTGCGTTTGTGTTTTGTAGAAGCACCACTGCCTTTCCCGTCTTGCTCGATAGCCAGCTTTGATCTCTTTGCTTTGTTGGGCATTTCCTGGTTTTTGCCGGGGACTCTAGAGAGCAGTCTGAGATTGATCTTCACAAGCAGGGACGTGGTAGGCCTGTCCCGAGAAGCTTTGTCTGCATGCCCAGTCTTCTCCAAGTGCTTGTGGGTGATCTTGATGGCCTTCTGGCATTTGGTCTCTGCCTTAGGTTTGCTACAACCGATTCTGATTGGTGGAGCAGGAGACAGCTGGTCAGGCTGAGCAGGACTCTGGGCGGGGCAGGCACAGGGGTTGGGATATCTCACACCACAAGATGGACAATGACCATACAGGACTAGTGTGACTTCAGGCTCCAGCTCTGATTCAGCTTTCCGCTTGTCAAGCGACACATGTTTAGAAGTCCTCTTAATGTCTCTTTTAGTGTCACTGCTGTCTTTGCTTTTCTTGAAATGTGTCGTCTTCGTCTTTACCTTGGGCCTATCTGTGAAACATGGGTCTTTCACTCGTGTGGCCACAACATCCTCACACTTCACACTGACAACTGCTTCACTGTGATCTGGGCAAGTTGCCTTCACTGGTTTTGAGGAGAATGTACTGCATGAAAGTTTCTTGGAGTCAAAGGGAGATTTTTGGCTACTGTGTTGGCAACAGTTGTCCTGCGGGCTTTTGCTGCCCTGCTGAGGGTTGCCACTGCACTCTTTTTGATGAGAAGAAGGCTTGGATTCTGTGGTGGGGTCGACCACATCTACACCGGAGTGCTTGAAGCTTTGACTGGGTAGTGGCTGTTTGTGAGTAGGGCTCACAGAGACAAGTACGCTGCCTTGACTTTCACTGCTGTTCTGCTGATTGGATCTCAGCCTGTTCCCCAGCTGCCAGTCACAGCGGCTCACTGCCGGAGCATCAGGCTATGAAAACACAAAAATATCATGTAAAAAAAAAAGCAAACAAAAGACCAGGAAAAGTGAGTGAGTCCATTATTCAGTCTTACAAAAGGGACAAAAAAGCAAATTACCTCAGTTTTAACTGAACTGCTCATGCAGGGCTGAGGTGGCTCCTCAGTGGGGTTTTCACTGTCCAGCTCTGATCTTGAACTACTCTCTGTGTCGCTGGAACTGGTGGACTCTACCCCGCTGAAATGTGCTGCTGCAAGTAAACTGCAGCGTGTACGCACACACACCACGATAATATCCATTAGAATGAAATATACAACATTGTGGCATACATGCACAGGCTTAGCTGGTAAAGTGCATGTGGCAAGACAAAAATAGTTACATGCACATCATCCATTTAAAAGATCATCAATAAGTAAGGTAACACTTGCACACTTCCTCCAAAGCCAGAGGAAGTGCACGTGGCAAACATGATGTACAAAGGAGAAACTAACAATTTAAATATCTGGTGTTTGTTTTTTGTTGTCCAGAAATGTTTATGAAAATATTTGTAATATAATTCTTTATCTGCAATGTCTTCTGATTGTGTGAAGTGTAAACAGTCCGTTAATCTTCATCAGTGCTGTGTCAGAGGCCTTGATGAAGCCGGCTTGATTAAACTGCACAGAAGCTGCAAGTCTTCTTCAAGTAATTAACTTTCAGTGGTTCTCATGTCATATCTGCAGCAAAGTTTAGAAGATCTTTTTGAAATTAGAGCCAAAAAAAAAAAAAAAAAGTCTTTTAGAGGAGCCAAGTCACTTACGGTGAGGAGGACTTCTGCTGGTTGAGCTGGGATGGATCTGTAGAAGAGTTTTCACAGCTTTCTGGAAAGAAAAAAAAGCAATGAAAACATTAGTTGAACAAAAGAAACAACATCGCTCAACACCAATGTGGATTTGGCTCCCATATACTGCAGCTGAGGTCTTTTTAGACAACTACCTGACTGTCTAACCTGCTGCTAATTAGTATGTAGTCAAAAGTGATGCTTGCTGGTAGATTCAACTATTTTTATGCAATATATCTGAACATATGATCTAATGCACCACTGCTGTGAAAGGAAAACCAGTGCAAATTAATTACTGTACATCTACAGATTCCTAAACGGTGCTTAAACCAAGCTCAAACTGCTCTCACTAAAGAGCCGTAACTGTTGCAGAAAACTGTAAACCTGAGCACAGAAATTCATTCTTGAGTTATTAAAATGTGAGATTTGGGGCAGCACTTATTTTCTGGTATGTACTATATGACCAGTAACAGTAGTGCTGACACACCTTCTAATGCTAGAAACTTAAAAGTCAATGACTGAAAGAAATGAGCAGAAATCAATAGATGGATGAAAACAAGCCACTTGTGGAAAAAAATAGAAAGACATTTTACATGTTTTTCTCTTAGCTGAGGTTAGTTTGAGATAGAATTGCAGGGTTGTTTCTCTCTGGCATTTTGTGGTTAGTTCACAGAAGAGGACACTGTGGTTGCACAGGCAGGCTTAAAACGCTGCTTTCTACAGTCCAATAAGCATGTTTCATGATCAATCTACTGACTAACCCTGATTTGCATCAACTGTTGATTTTCCATGATAAAATAAACTATAATTTCAACCCAACTGTTTTTTCTTTTCTGCCTCTTGTTCTGTGCTGGTTTCATTCCCTTATTACTCACTTTGTCCTGGACATGAAGAGACATTCTCTGCTTCCTGTGGGAGAAGGAAAAAAAAATATTGTACAGATTTGTACATTTGCATCAACAGCTATAACAAGTGTGTTAACAAGCACGTAAACAGATCAGTCTTTAGCCTTTGTATGTTATAACCTTATATCAGTAAGAGTACATTTATAGAGCACTTTTCATTAGGACAAAGTGCCTCAGTAAACATCTGTTTTTAGACCAGATTTTAAAGCCTTCAGGGACAGCAGAGGATGTAAGCAGCATATGAGGGAATTTCACTGGCAGGCTGCAGTAAGGCAAAAGGCTTTGTCACCACTTGAGCCTTAATGCAACTACTGTAGGATGTGATTACAGGTTTGGAGAGTGAGAAGCTCTTTGAGATGGTGGTGGGGGGGGGGGGGCCATGGATACACTTGTGAGTCAGGAGTAAGCCAATTTAGTCAGCCCTAAAGGCAACAGGGAGCCTGTAGAGATAAAGCAAAACAGGAATGACATGTGGTGTTTCTTGCTCTCATAAAAAAATCTGGCCATACTGTTTTGAATGTCGAGACATGTAGCTTGTCTAAAACTACAAAAAAAAAAGTCATGTTTTAAATCAGGGGTTCAGCAAAAATATTAAAATTTAGCCAAGAGTTTTCTGCTGCAGCTGGCAAGTCGACCTGATGATGAGGAAGGCCAATGAAAAACAGTGGCACCAGGCAACTGCCACAGTCTCCCTCCATCACATCATATAATTGAATCTTAATCTGGCAAAATCAGATAAGGACTTTTGTGTTAGAGGCTACAACACTGGAAAACATGCACTTCACTTGGCTGACTTGGACTTTATTAAAGCATGGCAGTGGCTTCATCTGCAATAAAAAAAAAAAACTAATGTTTCACAAGAACTGGAGTTTAGTTTCCTATCCAGTTTTAAACTGGCCATCATCAGGAAGGTTAATGTTACAGGGCAAACCTGGCTGGGAACAGGAACAGTGCAGTCATGAACCCTCCTCCTATGGGCAGTGAGAATAAAGTCAAGATGGATTTCAACCACTCTCAAGCTCTTACCTTGGCTGAGGACAGGGACTTTGAGGATTCATCTGTGCTAGGTGTGTGTATAGCTGTCAGGAGGGGGGGCCATGAGTGGATCATTTCCTGTGGAGGGGAATAAAAACAATGGGATGCATAGACAGCCTAACAACAAAACACTGTATAGGATGCACTCTCACTGGTGTTTTTTTTTTAACTGGACAACAAAGTCAGTCAAACTGTCCCCACACAAATGTCAGATTTACTGCAGTAACAGGTATATCATGGATCTTTTTCTTTGCAAGTTGAACATCCATCCTCATAAATACACTTGTAATTCCAGTTTCTTAAAAGTTCAAATCCTGCATTGTTTACATCCATGTCTAAAGGCAGACAGGCAGTCATCTTCCTTCCTGCCTTTGCATGCACTATTGGCATCATGCACCTATATGAGGACGCACGGGGCAAACAAACTATGGAAGCACAAATGAAGAAGTGGCTCCATGCAAGTATTAGAGGTCTACTCCCCCAGTTACTTTTGCATGCAGACATACATGTTAATGCTACTTGCATGAGCTTTGTGCATGTGAATCAGTAACCATGTGTTTGCTGTGCCAATGACAAGCAGCTTTCCAATGAGCTACTCAAACATAAGTTGTAGTTACACCCTTGCTATAATTACATAATTATGATAGCAAAACAGTCAACCACAGATCAGAATTAAAATTTTTGAACTTACCCTTAAGATGTCTTCAACAGCCTGAGCTTCATTTGTCTTTGTCTGTAAAAAGAACAGGAATGAGTTCCTGGAAACCTACATGCATTTACAAGCTGAAGACCAAGCACAGGAAGATTTATTTGCCAAGATCAAAACAATGAGAGAAAAAAAAACATTAAGAAAAAAAAAAACAAAACCATTAAATCTGCCTTTATACAACCCTCATTCACATCTCCAGTCACTCCCCCTTGAAATAAAATAAATGTTATTTATCTAGAAATCTGCTATGTGGCCAGTGCTAATCACCAGTAGGTTACGTATGTATGGAATTAAATTATGTAAGAGAGAACCTCAACAAAAATGGAATGATCAAAACATGAGAAAGACCTTTCAGTACAATGCAGTCTTATACCACATCACTACCAACTACAGTCTCAAACACTAGTGGTGACACAATACCGCATATTGGACCAACCACAACATCAAGTAAGTGCTGTGTGTGAGTGAGTCAACAGGCTGTGTTTCAGTTTGTGTTCAGTGCTCTTTCAGTTTTTCCTTCTGAATGGACAATGTTTGCGATAAGGTCACTGTGAATGGGCCCCAGAGCAGTTATGTAAGTTGGTGACAAAGCTCATTTATTGTTCTGTTGAGCCCAGGGGTGAAGTTATCAGAGGCAGTCGAGGTCACTCACACACATACAAACCACAAGCTGCTTGCTACATGCACCATACTATGACATGCACCATACTATGTACCAGAATAAGACGTGAAACATGCTCAAAAGAGCATGGTGGATAACTGTATGTATTAATCAACTCACTTGAGATATTAATGCACAGATATTAAGAGTGCAGCACAGTGGCCCTATAGTGGAAAACAAAGCTCCCCTTCAGTTGCATTGCTTTTCTCAGTTATGCCCAAAATCAGATCCAAAACATCCTCCAATTGATCTGGAGGCTACAGAAACATACCTGAATGTGCTGTAAATACACAAGTGTGGTTTATGTATGGCCCAGTGCAGATGAAGTGCTAATCTTAGGAATAAATGGTTGGTGAGAAATAAGGAAATGAGTCACTGTCTAGCTATCTTGCACTGGATTAGTCCCAGCAATGAAGACGGCAGCATGTTCAACACTGCAGTGCTGCTGCAGAACTGTAAGGAGGAGGTGTGGAGCACTGCAGGTGCAAGAGTTGTGTGTATGTTTCTGTGTGACAGAGAACAAGACTGAACTGGAGCTAAACCAAACTCTTCAAAAGAAAGTCCAAGATCTGTTTAAATGCCAGAACACTCAAGCTGCAATATCAAAACTATGAGGAGGTTTCAGAAAACATCCTAAAAATCAGCTGACACACATTATTAGGACATATGACAACAGTCCTGAGAATTAATAAGTAGGGCATCCCTTTTCCTACAGAATAACGTCCCCCTAGTCTCTGGGAGCACCACAGGAGCGATCACGTCATCGTAAAACAATCATGTACAATACATCGTAATACGTTACTGAACAGGAAAACAAATTGCCAAAATGGCCAACTCATTTTGTCAAAAGTTTACAGCATTTGTTTCTAGAAAGCTTAAGTAAAACCAGAACTGCCAGATTCATAATAAAAAAAAAAACTTACCAACATTTATATTTCAAATTATTAAAAATCTAGCCCTGCAACATAAACTTGCACACTAGCAGATCATGTGGCACACTCCATTTGTCTTGATAGAAATGGTACTTTTTGGGACCATTACCCATTTAATAGTTCTGTGCCCTTGTAGTGGTGTCTATGAAATTACTGGTCATTCATTCATTCATTCTAGGATAGGTCTGGTTTGGTGTACCATCCCTTAGTCATAGGCCTAGGTTGAGGTCCTCCCATGATGCTCTAAGCTCCTCTCCTCCCGTCTTCCTTTGATTTTTATATGCCACCATTACATGTCTCTAATTTTGTGCCCTCTCTCTCTCTTTTCTCTACCTTTCTGCAGGTATCCCTGGCTCTGGAGCTCTATGTTTGTTTGTTGTGTCCTGATGCTTTTCTTTCTTTTCTCTCTCCTCTATCCACTCATCCCAACCAGTTGAGGCAGAAGAGCTGGGGTCTGTCGGATGTTTCTTCTGTTAAAGGGAGTTTTTCCTCTGCACTGTCGCCAAGTTCACGGGGGATTTGCTGGGGTTTCCCTATAATACTGTAAGATTTAGACCTTACTATGTAAACATATGTCATCAGTCAAACACACAACTGAGCACGACTAGTCCAGAAATAAACTTCTGCTCTCAACACAACAATAATTCAACGTTTTGGGAAAAACATTTATTTGCTTTTATTCTCAAAACCACATTAATGTCAGTGGGCTAAATATAAAGATAATGGCAGCAAGCACTTAATTTAGCACAATCATTGCAAAAAAAAAAAAAGGGGGGGGGGGGCAACAAAAAGGGGCTAGACTGGCTCTGTCTGAAGGGAACAAACTCGACTTACTAGCACCTATGAAGCTCACTATTAAGGATACCTTTCCCTTTTCCCAATCACTGTGCCAAACTAAGTTAACCAGCTGCTGGCAGTAGCTTCATATTTACTGTACAGGCATAAGACTGGTAAGATAATATTCTCACCTCCAGAAATTGTGGCAGTATCTTGGTTTTATCCGGGATAGACTTGTTAATTACCTCTGGTAGAGGTACATATGGCTCTGGTGAAGGCTTTAGTTCAGGTGACTCGATGACCACCTGGTCCTGACCATCCATGGGCCTCACATAGGCTGTTGGCTTCTGAGTCATGACTACACTTGGCTGCTTAGAGGACAGGAGCAGAGGGAAAGTCTGTGAAGCAAGTGCGTTAGTCTTGGGAGCCTGAGGCAGAGATGCATCTTTTGGGGACTGCTTAACGTTCAGTGTGGAAACATCAGTGGTGCTGGCAGACGCAGAGGGGTCATCTGTGGACCCTTGAAGCTGATTTCTATTAAACATGTCTGTAGTGTCTGTGTCAGCATTATCGTGCTCACTGGAATGTAGGAAGGCAAGCGGCTTAGCATCAGGAGACAGAGGGGACATTTCCCGTGGAAGGCTGACACACTCACTGAGGTGTGAGATGGCTTCATTCTTCTTCTGTTGACTGGCCAGACTGTGGTTCAAACAAGATTTTAAAGTAGATACATGTCCATGCTGGGTAGGAGAAGAAGAGGCAGCAGATGTTCTCACTGGCTGAGAGGAGTAACTGTTAGTAGGGGGGCCTTTTTGGCTTTGGGTGGACATGTAATTGACCTGGTTGTGGAATGGAAGTTTGGTTGATTTATCAGGCTCACCCTGATCTGGCTGTGAGAAGGTTACATAAGTAGGAATAGGCAAAAGCTCCATGGCACAGGGATTATTCACATCTTCATAACTGCCCAGCATCCTCTGGATTCGATTGGAAAGCTCATCCCCTTTGTTTATCTAGAAAAAAGGATAAACATTTCGCTATGTTAACAGTGAAACCTCAGCTTAAAGGATGAGATAGGTCATTTTCTATATTAATACAGAGACAAAAAGCAACAATGAATTGCCTCCAGTCATGTTTAATGCCTATTTCTCCTCTCAGGGGTCACATAGGCTGCCCTTTATGGAGGATGTAGCCTGAGAGAAGAGTGCAGGCGCAAATCCAGCATCTCCTCTGCACATTTTTAAAGTAAAAATATTATCAAATGTTTTACAGTTATTTCTACACACACTAAACTTGGCCATTACTCAAAAATAATAGAAACAGTTAATTTATATTGGTAACTCACATAGCCTTTAAATAGTTTTAACTACGTACCATTATCATGGAAAGCACAATAAACAATTTCATCATAATTTCTTATTTGCTAAATGCTTCATCTACCATTTTTTCCTCAAGGTTTTCCAGTGATAATAATTAAGGTAAACCTTTATGTCTATATTAAATGCCAGGTCTTCATTTGTCAACAGACACGCTGTAGGACAGTAAACAGTTTATACTGATCATACTGGACAGACATTTGTGAGGTAAAGAGAGCTTAAAACTGTTCCTCACACATACTTGAAATGCAATACTGAATGGTACCGAACCTTTACAATTTCTTAAAAAAAAAATAAGACCAAGCATTTTATTATGGGTAACAACTACAGGAAAAAAAACAAAACAAAACGGAGTGTTGTTCTGTGAGCAAGTCACTATACGAGTCTTTACCTTGTATGGTTCCCCAAAGAGTGGCACATTCACAGGGTTGAGGTCTTTGGTGTGACTGGTTTCTTGGTTTCTCTGTTCCCATGCTCGGAGGCGAAGGAGGTTCCTTTCTTCATTGTGTACACTGTAGAACATTACAAAGAAAGAAAGCTCTTAAATGAAAGCTGCATGTGGAAATACATCATTTCCAAATCCCATCATCAGACTAAGAGTGATGACATGCCCCATGTTTGGCCAATGAGACTGCGATACGGCCTCTTCCTTACATTAGCATTTTGTATTCATTTTAAATTGTTGTATGACTTTACACACTGATAAACCCCTCGAACAATGAATGTGATTGATACTTATGACAAAATCAGTTTTGGCTAAAGACACCAGAAAATTTAAAGACTACATCTTCATCACAGACTGATCCACCCGAGGGTGCAGAGCAGAAGTGTCCAATGGGAGAACACAGCGCCCATCATTTCTGCAGACAAGTGTAATTAGACTCACAGATGCCATGAGGATTCACCACAACATTGACATCTGTTCTCTCTAGTCCCCAAAGATGACATGCAGCCCATACAGACATCAAATGAATATCAACAACTAGTCCTGATATGATACAAATGGGGAAAAAAAGTGCTTACTCATGCAAATGATACTTTGGAAGAACAGATGACTTCAGACTTTGTTTAATACTTTAAACAGACTAAAATGAACCAAACACTTAGGTATCCACATTCTGAAATTTGTGGCTTTCTTCCCAAATTACAGTGTTGATCATCCTCACTTATAACAACCCCAATGGGATGCTTCCATGGCAACAAGTGAGACAACACAGATTTGGGACTAAGCCAAACAGGTGAACACTCACTCATTAATTTGCCAAACTGCTAGGACAGCGCAATGTGGCGTCATGCGCCCAGGTTACCCAGTGGTAAAGCATTCAACATGATTCATAATTGACACCATACAGAAACTGAGAGATATCAGGGGTTAAATATAGATTAAGCTGGAACTAAACTGTCTAGAATTAGTACTCACACCTAGCAGTGATTTAATCTTCATACTGAGTAAACCCTGTAATCATTTAGCCCAGTAATTAGTTGCATCTGCACTAATGCTTCTTTTAACAACAAAGTTAAATGAACCCCTTTGGCCAACTGTCAGCGATTCTGAACAGTCTGCATGGTACAGCTTCATCAGTGAAAAATAAAAGTTTCCTTATTAAAGAAAGCACCTACATCATTTAGAAAAACAACCTGTTACACAGTGGACTGCAAAGCAGCATGAGACAGCAGCCACAGAATCTGGAGAGACAAAACACTTCATGATGAAGTTTCTGCTGGTTGCATTTTGCAGAAATCTAAATTTTGTGCAGAGCAATGCAATTTTATGAAAAATGGAAGAAGTGAAAAATGCTATCAGTAATATTCTCAGTCATGCATAATGTAGTACATCAAATCTATCAAACAATGGACACAAATGCTTTCCTCTTCACGCTGCCTTTGTTACACAAAGTACCCCTGGGTTAAAGTGCTACTTTTGCTGTCTAACACCTAGGCTATATGAGAACACATCAACTTATATATTTGTTGCTTTCAATATAACAGAGTACAACAAGACTCGGCTACCAAACACTGCCAGCAGGACCACAGGAAACAAAGCTGTTAAGGACACATTCTTAGGCTATCACTCTTAAGAAAACAAAGCAACATCAGGGGTGGGGGGGTTCACTAACGCTCATTTAATATCTTCTCTCAGATAATAACATAACCCCTGAGGGGCCAAGAGAGGCCAACTGTGAGTGACATATACTGGGTGCTCATTATAATGCAGGCTAATTTTATTCTTTAACCAGCTACAACATCATTTTTGTTTTAATTTTATATTATATTTGCTATGTTTTAAAAAAATTTAAAAAAAAACTTCCCAAACAGATGATTAATATTAAAAACAGGAAAAAGATTTTTTACCTGAATCTGCATTTCTCTGTTGAGATGCATGAGCATGCCACAGCTTTCTGTCTGCGTTCTCAATTATATTTTATTTGCCTTTTTAACAAATAACACTTTTTAGGGTGGACTGCAAAAGATGCTCAGAGGATCATTCTTTGTTCTCCAGCTGCCACTGAACCCCGAAAGCGGGTTAAGCCTCTGCTTTATGTTTAGGGCTGTAGCAGTCATTTCCATTAACTTAATTTAGTTCCAATTCACAACAACAATCGTCTCGGGGCACTTTACATAATCAGGTACAGACCTTACTCTATTAAATGAAAACCCAACAAATCCCCCCCTTGAGAAAGCACTTGTCAATAATCCATTAGAAAATCGACAGAAATGTTGTTGTGAATATGCTAATCAATTAATAATTTCAGGCATTTTTTTCAAGCAACAATGCCAAATATTGCTTCCACCTTCTCAATGTGACTGATGCTCTTATGATTGTTAATATTTTCTGGTTTTGGTCTGCTGGTCAAATATAACAAGACACCTGAATACATCTCCTCCCGCTGTGGTCAATTATAGCCAATGGGGGGGGGTGGAATAGGTACATAATTGACAGGAAAACAGTGGACTAATTTTATTACTAAATAAAAACCATGAAAAGCGTTTGAGACAGACAAAAAGGTGTCTTCCTCAACAAACTGAAGGAAGACAAAGTGTCCTATTTCCTTCTCAGACTGTTAATTATATCCTAACCGTTGACAGTTGTGTGTGTCTCCCTTTCTCAAGTCACCGAGCCCCGACTTTGTGGGCGATTTGGAAAAAATACAAAAGAAAATTAAAGGGTCAACACCGAGTCAAATCCAGACTTTCGCTGTTATCTAACCAGTTAACCACCCGAATCCATATTAATTAGACATGGTGGCTGAGGTTCAATAGACATTCGTATGTATTAAAACATGTTAATTTATACGGAGTAGCTGCTATAAACAGCGGACCCGATGACCAGTTGGTGAAAATCACACCAGACTACTTTTCTCTCTCCAGCTGATTCCACTTCTTCCTCGAACTGCTTATCAGCTGAAACCCAGCCAGCCGGTTTTACATTAACCACAGAAAATCACCAAACCTACGCCACCTGCCTCCTATTACTTTCACAGAGTTTGAAACTTTGTGCATCGCTAGTGAGCAGGCTAACCGTACACAGCTAATTAACATGGGTTACCCTGGCTGCGAGGCGAGCTGCTAGCAGCTAGCCGCTGCTCCGTCTGCCTACCTTGGCCGAGGAGGCGCTGCTCCGTCTGCCTACCTTGGCTGAGATGCCATGGCGCCCCTCTCACAACAACCAAAGTTGGTTGTCATTTGTTTCTGCCACTCCTCGCCAAGGTGTTCCTCTCACTTCATACGCTTGGTCACATTGTTCATCCCTGAAGATAATGTATTAATTTAAACAAGCTGTCAAGCCTCCGTTGTTTTACAGTTGTCCGCTAACCGTGCGAGTCGGGGTTGTCCACTCTCTGCCTACTGGATTGTTCTACTGCAGGCGTCTGGGGACCAGTTTTATACACTCAATGCACCACAAACCTGTCAAGAAGTATCTCTAAGACGGCTGTGTTACTACTGAAGGAGTAAATATTATGTAAACATAACAGACGAGCCCACAGAGAGCTATACTATTTACTGTTTTTCTTCATCACGACAGTTTACTAAACTTTAGACCGTTACCCCTGCGTGACTGACATGGTACAGTCATCAGTATTTGTTTTTAATCACACTCCCAAAAGTTTTGTCTTTGCATCGCAAGGTATAAATATATTTCAGATGTTTTATATATGTTTAATATATGTAGATTTATTTATATTTATAGCGGTATATTATGGCACTATAAAGTTCAACCTTAACATGGCTTCAGTGGCTTAAAACTTACATCCAAACATATGTTTAAAAAGTGTTTTGACCATTTCACTGCTGAATTTGCTTCCTCGCATAAATGAATTCATTCTTGATATTTTATCTTTAAGGATTATAGAGGCTAATATGGAGGGAAATGTGAGCCACTTATACTCTCCAAAGCCTGTTAAATGAAGTCAAAATACTTTTCCAAAAATAGCTTAAGAGTGAGTATTATTTGGCTTTATAAAGCATTCTGTTAAATAGATAAATAAATAAATGTGTACGATAGCATACACATATCAGTCACAAGACGTCTGTCAAAGAAACATCTGATGTTTAAATTAAGATTTAGGATCTGTCAAAGGTCCAAGACACACAGCACTTTTGCTGTTTGAGTGTCTCATTGAAATACACAAATGGTATATGCCATTGTATTGGTGTAGATGTTTCAACTGTTTCGTCTTTATCAGGTCACCCCCCCACGCAGGTCACACGCACATACTACCCTGTGGACATCTTGCCATCCAGTGGTTGGACAGTGTAAAGAACTGCATTCTAGTACCAGTAGTTGACATAATGACCAGTAGGTGGCGATATATCGTTGCGGTAACAATAGATTAGATTAGATAGTACAACAAACCTAGATTAGTTTGACCACACAACCTAAAGATGAAAACTTCATATTTTAAAATAAGACTCATACATACTGACAGACACACAACAAATATGTAAAGTAACCTATCCAAATATATTTGTAGCATTTTAGTAGTAATATAGTATATGTCCAAAAATTTGTTTATAAAGTCTACAGTTTAGGTAGTGTACCAAATCTGTTAGCATATAGTGTATCTGTTTAGCAATTAATAGGAATTAGAGTTGCAATAATAATAGGAATAATTAAATTCGGTCAAAAATGTAAGCACAGTAAACATGGCACTGTGAAAGAAAATATAATTTTTAATATTGGTATAAACACATCTCATATTTACATTCTTCATTTAACAGGGAACCATTCCATCATTCTTGTTGCCTGTGAATAAATTCAGCAGGGCACTGACTATGTCCTGCAGATTTTCTTTGATGGTGATCCACATCTGCTTCTGTGCTCAAATCCCTTAAAAAGATCCTCACAACTAAAACAAGAATTAAGGCAAGCCTCTCTGACTTTCATTTATTCTGATTATAAAATATCTATATAAAACAGAAAACAACAAACAACAAAATAAAAACCATGCTTACAATAATAGGACATGCAGAATAATGTTCACCATACAATGTAAGTATATCATTTGGTATGTTAATAATTGGTAATTTGTCATATAGGTATCATAGTATTTACTGTGGCAATGAAAGCAGTCCTTAAGAGAATCAAAATCAACAACTATAAACAGCCTAAAGAATAGACACAAAAATAAAAATGCCTTTTTTTCAGGAAATCTGTTACACAAAACCTAGAAGAAACAAGTTGAAACTCTGGAGGAGCTTTTACACAAAAAGTCCAGAAGTGCGGATCATTTAGTGTATCATTAAAAAAAAAACGGTTTGCTTTGCAAAGGCCGTTGCCCTATGAACATTGTAAAAACTGAAAGCAAAGTCATTGTCTGGTCACTCAGGTAGTTAGTTATATGAAAGCAGAGACTGACAGACAATAAAACCAATCGAGAGAGGTGTAAGCCAGCAGTAAATAATTATGAATTAGTTATAGAGAATTGTATTGTTGCTATAGTTATGATGCAGCCAAGATTTCAACAGTCAAATGCAGTTATCACCATCGTGATTACCTTTATATACTGTTAAATCAACCTCACTGCAAACCAGTCATCCTCCTAGATTTTACAGTGGTGGAATGTAAAGTTAGGACATTTACTCAAGTATTTAAGAATGAATTTAAGGTACTTGTATATGAGTATTTCCATGTTATGAAACCTTGTACTTCTACTCCACTACAAACTATCTAACAGTATGTACACGTAGCGCTGAAATAATCCATCAATTAGCAACTATTTCAATAAAAGGTTAATCCACAATAAAAATCATTACTACTTGCAGCCTTAAATAAAACTGAAAACTGAAAAACTAAAAATTATGTAACCAGTAATAATATATTATTGATAATGTATCTATGATGTATACAGGGCCACCTTTCTGCAATCAGTACTTTTGCTTTTTAATGCTTCAATTACATTTTCCTGATTATACCTGCATACGTTTCTTTAAGTAACATTTAAAGCTACTTTACAGTGTGGTAATAGTACTTTTACCTATAAGTAAAAGGCCTGATAAGTGTCTTATGCACCACCTTGCTGGTTGGACTAATTAAGATCTCTCTGCCAGAAGGTGGCCAGATATGGAGGACACCTGAGAACCGGGGCGTCTTCCTGGGTGACAACCTGTATGCAGAGTGATGTCCCAGCCTTCCCCGTGCTGAAGTGCTCCCTGACATCGTAACGGAGGCCGCAGTTCTCTGCGAGTGTGGTGGGACTGCTGTCTGCGTGCAGAGTGGCTGCAGCGGGGGCAGTAACTTTGACTTCCAGCTGATCAGGCCCAACTGCAGTTAGATTCACAGGCAGCACCACGCAGGCATGCTCGAAGCTCTCTCCGATGGTGCATTTGAGCTCAGTAGACCAACAGTATTCCTCGAGGTCACCTGGGAAGTACAAGTACCGTATACTGTATGTGATACATAACACATGTCAGTCTCACTCAGGCAGTGATGAATTCAACAGAGAGAACTGCTTTCCTTGTGGATAATGTCTCAACGTTAAGTTAAGGTATTATATGGAGAATTCGCACAGCTTTAAATATGTAACTTGGCTACAAACTCCCCTCGAGCTGAAAATGTCACTGTGTGGCTCCTTACCTTCGGTGGCGTCTGTAAGCCGTATATTTTGATTGTGCTGGAGCAGCACTTTTTTGTGGTACGTCATCCCTGTGCACTCCATTAAACACTCCGTTAGTCCTTTAATAAGTTCACTCACTGGCCTGGGGAGCGGTCTCAGTATCGGCTCCTTCTCTGAACATTCAGCTGCCCCTACAGCCAACAGAAGTGGGGGCAGTATACTCAGGAATACTAACACGGTGAAATATCTAGACATTCCGTCCAGCATGAATACAAGATCGATTTGCTTGCAGTATTGAGTTACAGATCCGGATCTTGCTGTCCTCTTGTGGAGTTGTTGTTTTAATGTAGTCCGGGATCAATATTTTGCTTGCACAACTTGAGAACCATACGTTCAGCTTCCACTGCAGCCCGGAAAATATTTATACTGGTTTTGAGTGCACCTGCGCGCACAGCAGCCTGCAGATGTTGAAAGCTTCTTCTTAGAAGAGCCGCAGCAGCTCAGGTGTTTGGTGTGGATCCAGACAGGAGGCGTTCAGCCTGTGAGATGAGCTGTAGATCGACCGCGTCGTGGAAGCGCCCAGAGTTCAATGCGCAGTCACTGCGTTGTGTGCGTAAAGCGAAGAATGCGCTCTGGGTGCCTCACATGCATATAGCTGTTACTCCACCTGTGAAGACAGCGAGGCTGAATAAAACAGCCGCCTATCTGTGTCTCCAAGAAGACAAGTCCTTACGCGCAACATGTTGCCCTTCCCCTGACCCGCTCACGGCTTTCTGCTGCACAGTGCCAACTTCTTAATCTGCCCTTTCTCCTCCCAATCTTAATATGCAACAATGTATGATTTTTAAAGAGTCCACCCATCCACCCATGATCAATTCTGCTTAGAAGGCAGCAGCGCTAACCACTGCTCCACCATGCCGCCCCTTTTAAAGAATCATATTCATTTTAGTCACAAAAACTCGTAAAATAAAGTGAGAAAAGAAAAACAGTTTAAATCATCTTTATTTAGAGAAAATGTGTGTAAGAAATCACTGAATCTATGCAAATGATAAAGATGGCAAAGCAGTGTCATAAGCACGATAATCCATTTTGCATCTGATTGATTTGATGTTATAAATCACTCTGATAATAGTAATCCCATACAAAAGAGTAAAACACTGAATCGTGAGGTAACCTTTAACGTGAGTGTACACAGCCAAACAACAATCAAAATTAGTTTTTAACAAGTATTAAAAATTCAAAATTGAGAACCGTAATGTAATGTTCACTACTAAAGTTATGGTTTTGTTGGTTTTGCAGAGCAACATTGTCCCCTTTGTCTTTTCTACCAGTTGAAGCATGAAAAATGGAGCATGGCCAATGGACGTTTGTGGAAAAACACAACACAGATGTTGTTGATTCCAAGTGAAGCTGACACTAAGGTTAAGGTGCAGGGAGCAAACGCCCTGCAAAAAGCAAGACTGAAAACAACAAATGATTTCAAATCAAATCAAATCAAATTTTATTTGTATAGCGCCAAATCACAACAAAAGTCATCTCAGGACACTTTACAAAGTAAGGTCTAGACCTTACTGTTATCACTATTATTACATAGGGAAAACCCAACAAATCCCCCTTGAGCAAGCACTTGGTGACAGGTCGATGTGGCTGGTGACTGCTCGTCAGAGACGTAGAGCTCCAGGGCAACCTGCAGAAAGGTACAGGGAGAGAGAGAGGACACACTACGAGAGAGAGGAGACACAAAGTTAGTAATGTGTAATGGTGGCATATAGAAGCATAGGGAGGGAGAGAGAGGAGAGGAGAGGAGAGCAGGAGGGGAGGGGAGAGAAACTCAGAGCATCATGGGCCCCCCCCAGCAGCATAACTAAGGGAAGTCTCAGGGCCACCTGATCCAGCCCTAACTATAAGCTTTATCAAAAAGGAACATCTTAAGTCTAATCTTAAAAGGTAGAGAGGGTGTCCGCCTCCCGAACTGAGACTGGGAGTTGGTTCCATAGGAGAGGAGCTTGATAGCTAAAGGCTCTGCCTCCAAAAACCAAAGTGCTGGAGAAACTGAGTGTCTGTACAGAATTTCATGGCGATCCATCCAATGACTGTTGAGTCTGGACCAAAGTGCTCCACTGACCAACGCTGCCATCCACTATTTTGCTGGCACAACTAAAAAAACTAGTGTCTCTGTGATAAGGACACATTTAAGAGTAATTCATGTTCATCCTGTGCGAACCTTTTCCCAGAACTGTATGACCGCACCTTGATTTGATCTTGTTCTCCTGCATATTCAATAGACTGGAAGATATTCCACGTGCACCTGCGTCTCATCTCCAGCCGGGCAGCGTAGTACTGACGGTTCCAGCGCTGGATCAACAGAGCAGCTCGGATTGCTGAAGGTTTTGAGAGAAAAAGTAAGCACTTTTGCTCCAATCTGCTCTGAGGCAATCCCCCTCCTCCAGTAGCAGAACATTTGTTCACTATGTTAGATCTAGACTGGAAGACTCACCAGTGGCAACTTTCACAGGGTGCAGGAAAACTGAGCAGAGATCACACAAGTTATCAAACACTGCTAACTGAGAAAAAGACTGAAAACAAGTTGTAAAGACGATAAAAGATAAAAGAGATATTTACCTGGAACTGAAATGCCCACTAAAAATGACCAAAAATGTATGTCAATGAAAAGAAACATTTCTCTGAAAACTTTGTGCCTTGACTACTCACTAGAATGATTTTGATAAAGGCCACACCTCTGTCACATTCATTCAGCTGATGTTCTGTTTTTCCCATGCCACATCCCATGACCCTTTGTGCTATCACCGTCAGAGACAAAGATACTTTCATGTGAGTCTTACATTTTTGACCTTGCATTTTGCAACCTGAGAATAATGCAATAACAGATGCAATATCACACATTTGTCCATTATTTTATCCATGTCACTGCATGTTTTATTTATGTTACAAAACTTGTTGATGTATATATTTGCTAATACATCATAAACAGTATCAGCAGCATAAACACATCTACAAAATTTGAAAAACCAATTTGTAATACTTCAAATTGCTAAATGTTTTACAACATGAGTGTGAACATAGGGATAGAATAAGCACTCTGGCATGTTATTTAAAGTCTAAGAACTATCCACAGGAGGATAAAAAAGCAAAGCAGCCTTACCTGGCCACGTCACCTTTCTTTCATTGCTCCTTTCACTTCTTCAGCACCATCAAGGGCATGGCGTTATGTTTTGTCTACAAACCTTCCAGCCACATTCTGACAATTTAAATAAAAGACATGCAAGAAATATGTGTTGTATCTTAGACTTTTCCATTTCCCAGGCAGAGCACCACATGTCCTGGTGGCAGTAATATTGTAATTGGATGACGTCCAATGGATGTTCCCTGTGTGCAGCTACGCACACTCTCAACACACTTGTGAACAGCAGAGGCAGGTGCCTTGGACCGGCCCCGTGATCACTTAAACAAAACAAGATACTAGTGGATTAGGATTAAATCTTACTATGACTGGCATCTATGTTAAATACACAGATAAAGGGCAGCAACTGTTTTGAAAGCAGGTTGTGTTGGTCTCTGCTTAAGACCAGTGTCACCAACTGTTAACATCGATATTATCTATCTCCATTAATTGAGCACTGTCTAGTCTTTACATTCATATTCTCAAAAAATACAGGCCTATTTCTAAGTTTACTTACAAGTGTAACGGTGCAGTATTTTAATTAGTAGTATGAGCAGAAAGTGTTTATTTGAATTGCCAGTAGGAACGTAGCAGAGGCTTTGTGTATCTTTAGCTCTGGATGCTTTAGCAGCAGATGTTGGTTGTGGTGTGCTATTCTGGCTTTGTGAGACCTTGATGCTGAGTTTGACACCACTGATAACATTTCTGTCTGTGAGTTTTTGATTCTTTCACAGACAATTATTGTCATGTAAAATCAACTGCCTTGGCAGATGTCGGACATGATTATGTATCCACACAAAACTGTGGGAAAAAGCCCACCCAAGCGGATCAGCGATAGTATAGAGGGAAAAAAATGGGGACTGCTGAAAAAATAGGTGAGAGCATTTAGGAAAATTCTGCACCAAGCTTGAGTTGACTGCCTGTACAGTATGTGTGCACGTACTGAGACAGCGCCACTTGTTTCTGCAGAGGAAATAGTTATTAATCCTCTGCAACATGAATATTTAACCCAATTTTAGAAGATCCTGATAATGTGTCAATCAAAACATCGATCACCCCCTCAACTACATCCATTTGTTTCCCAACAATGTGCCATATGGGTATTAAAGGGTAAACAAAAATAAGATATTTATAAAACAAGTAAAGCAATATATACATTAAAAAAGAATGCAAGCAATATATGCATTAGAAAATTTAAACAAATGCATTTTTCTTTACATATATCGTATATAAAATACACAGTGCTCTACAGCCCTATGACAAAATAATAGAAACAACCTGCAGTATAATGTACTGTGGAGGATTTTAGTGTAATCCAGTAATATAAATCCACAACCCACAGCATCATAAGTCAACATAAACACATTATTCTGACACTGTCAACAAGAACTAAACATGTCAATATATGCCTTATAATGATAGCATTCATTGCAGGACTGTTGGATTTTAGGGTTAACCCTAACCCTTACAGTAGTCATCCCTATTATTTTATCCTACTGCAGTATCCCTATAATAATATTTTCCACAGGTGATTTTCTGTGAATTTATATTGCTACAGTACATCACGTCCTGCTACACTTTTAAGTCCATATTAACAGCCTATAAATCTCCCCCTCGTCTTGTTGTGTGTTGTCCACTTGTGAAACATCTACAATACATCACATACCCTCCACAGTCTGTGAAAGGGTCTTTGTGATCCCGGCCAGCAACAGCTGCCTGTGGCATGACTGCAAGCAGTAGAGCAACAAGGAAATGGAGAGAGACGTCTGATACTCAAGGACTCTGCTCATTCAGTTTCAGGAGGTCTAAAGCTGCAATATCACAGTGAGCTCAGGTGCCTGCGTGTGTATGTGTGTGTTTTTAAAGAATATGGTTGAAGGTATTGTGTATTTTTCTTAGTGTTAACAAAAAAACAAAACCAATAATCAATTAATTATCCTCTCTCTCTATATACACATACAGAAGCATTTGTTTAAAAATGTAATTTAAACCCTCTATAACTTTTCTAATCATCTGCCGTGCAACATTCTAAGAGGCTTGTTCCCACCAACAGAAGCATTTGTTTAAAAATGTAATTCAGTAATCATTTATTTCAAATACTAAGTGAGTTCATTCAACAGCTGGACATGGTAGTTTCAGGAAACATTACTTAAACACGAGTACACTGTGTTTGTGTTGAGGACTATTTTCAACTGTGTATTAAAACACATTCAGTGCTCTAGTGAGTATATCTGGTGCAGAAGCAGGTCAGTGCATGTACTGTATGCTTGACTCAGAATAAACCCCAGTACCCAAGTTCAGTATAAAAAAGGAACATTTCAGTCATTGAAACAATGTGGTTCATCAGCAGCAGGGACAAATAATTAAGTACATTTCCTCAGGCACTGTACTTAAGGTAACGTTGCACTTTGCTCAGGTAAAACCATATTAGGATTTTTTCCACTTCTACTTCACTACATCTGTGGAGGAAACGTAGATTGTTACCACATTTATTTTCTTTGCAAATTAAGACTTTACCTTACAAAACCAAATACACTTATAAAATATAATCTGTTGTTAAAGATTAAAACGGTGTTTCTCAAACTTTATGTTTTGTTACTTCTTCCAGAAAGATCAGTTCCTTTTTGTATATACTGTATCTAAATGCAGGATGTTTACTTGTGCTGGAGTATTTTTACATTATTGTCTTGGTACTTTTACTCAACTAAAAGGTCTGAGTTCTTCCACCAGTGCTTGTAACAGAGTATATGAAAGTCAGAGCAATAAGCCATGTTAAGTTTCAGCTACACAGAAATGACCTGTTAGCAGAATCATTTGAGTTTTGATTTTGGTCTACCATTTTCAGGTTTTCACCACATAGACTTTTTTTATTTGTGCTATTTTTGTTGCTGAGATCAAACAAAATTCTTTTACACAGATTGGCAAAAAGACAACTGGCCTCCAGGAGGATTTGGCTCTGGACATTCTCACATTTTTGGACAGAACAGTCAGTAACAATAAACAGCTATGAATAATACTCATTTAAAGATAAATTGGCAGCACAGAGACAATTACATGCAGTGTAGCTGACACTTGCAACTAACAGTTGTTGCTTGACAATTTCTAATTTAGAGATTTTACTACAGAAAAGCAGTTTTATTGTCCCACAAAATTAAACTAAGCTTGATGGATGGTACAAAATACAAAACAGCACACAAATATAGACTGTAATTTGACAGTGTGAGTCTGATTATCTAATCAGTTTTGTCACTTTTTGGTTGTTTTCTCAACAAATCTGTGTGGCCACTTGTATCATTCTTTTTGATTACAGTAGAAAAACATGAATACTAAACTGAGAGTTTTTTTCAGTGTTGATACATTGTAATGAGCCAAGATAACACATTAAATTCAGAAGAATTAGTCTACGAAAGCAGCATGTGTGAGAAGATAGGCCTGCGCAGAACGATGTTATCTCACAGATGTCATAAACTGAAAACAATAAAACAAACTTTACTCTTCGCTGAGCTCCTGGATGTTTCCAAGGCCACAGCCACAGCTGCGGGTCACTTGCACGGAGGAAATTACAAGGCTGTTGGATTCATCCATGTAAACAATGGGAACCATTTCCTGGGAGGTGGGTTGGCAACATGGCACCAGGGTCTGGAGAAGAACAATGGGAAGAGGGGTCACAACACAGTCTGGTATTCTGTCTGCGTTCAACAAGAATATACAAAAAAAAACTTAACAAACAGTGTTTTTACAGGTGCACTGGGGGTACTAACATACAAAAAAAAGAAAAAATATGAAGAACAAGAAAGAGAAAACAGGTCTTTCTTTTTTCAGCAGTTTCATTATATCCTGTTTATAGCCCAAGTCAGTGTGTGGGGAAAGTGGTAATAGAGTGATATACGTTACAGAGCACTTGTGTACTTTTACTCTACTACAATTCAGGAATGTAAATGAGCACATTAGAACACAGACTTTGTCTTCACTATCTGTTCACTATGTCATAGAGGATTATACCTGTGAGTCGGCATCATGGGCATCGGTATGGGATGATGGACACTGCACGGTGTTCTGTTCGGGGTTGCAGAGTGCACACTGCACAATGGAAAGGCTGGCAGGATGGATCACCCAGCTGTCCCACCCCAGCTCTGGCAAATATAAGAATGGATATTACATGGATTACTATATATTTTTTCATATACAGTATAAGTGTGTGTCACCATGCTTGCACATACTGTCAGTATAAACATATACACACACTGTGGCACACCTGACATGAAGATCTCAGAGGCCATAGGACAGCACCTCAGGCCGGTACTGTTCCCACCGTCAGCTGAGACAGAATCACCAGAGACCACAGGAACTAGAATGACATGGTAAAAGATGTAAAGTGTTCTAGGGCTTTAGCCTGGCTTGAACTTGAAAAAGCCACAAACGATTAGGCTCAGGCTATATGTGGAATGTACTTATTTTTGGATTCCACTCACCTGCGGTGTCCTTGGCACTTTGAGAAATGGTGTGGAATGTGCTCTTCCATTGCTCTCTGACTCTGTCCAGCCCACCAACAGGCAAACGTGGCTCAGTCTGCAGGTTAAGACCCCTGAGGAGACCCTTCCTGATGGACTGCAATGACTCACCATGGCACCTGAACACAACATACACAACATCACACTAAAATATTACATAAAATGATTACACAGAAGTAAATAGCAAAAGAGGAAATCTTGGGCATTTCACAGAAATAAGTAAAGTTTACTGTTAAACAGTCAAGACAAAAAGGTGCATTAATTTGTAACTTCTCTGCTCCAACACATTCCAGATGCTTACTCAATATCCTCAGCAAACTGTGCAGACAGTTTACAGACATTTGGCTAAGACAAAAAGAGGAGTCATGTGTTGAAGAATGACTGATTATACTGGGAACACCATTCTGAACTTAAACAGAGTGGTGTGTAACATTTCTGCACATTATTCTTAGAAAAACAAAACGGTCCGCATGATCCTGAATCACACATAAAGTCTGGCATTTCCCTCTAATCTGTGTGAGACGGCCTGAGCGCACAAACATCATCACAGATCTCACAAAGTGTAGTCTGACAAGTGTGGAGCACTGAGGTTATTTAAAACTATAATCACCTCTGCAAACTAACAAGATGTTTCACAACTTTGTAGAAAATATTGTGGAAGGTGATGTTAAGTATTCCCCTGCATACAAACAATTGTGGCTACTAACAAAACAAAAGCATTTCACAAAGTTTTACAATTTGTCCATACACTGTTGTGTGTTGCACAAACAAATTTGGCACTAACCTGTCATAGGAAACAGGAGAGGTTGTAGGTTTATCCTTGGATGGCTGCAAGACAAATGCAGTCACCACTGAAGAACCGAGAAGCATCATCGTAACAATGAACACAAAAGACATGGTGGATTAGATGGATGGTCAATCTATAGATGAACTTCTTTCAAGACGATCGCTGCTCTTGGGTGTGTGTGTGGGTGTGTGTCTGGTTCGAGGAGGAGATTGGAGTGACGAGACAGGGATGCTGCACAAGGTATTGTTGGTCGGGACCTGGGAACCTGGGTTTTTATCTTCCTGTACCACAGCTTGACCTTGAGCTACGTAACAATGTTGTCCTCTTTTCTGTGTGAAAGGCAAACAGCCTGGAGTGAGAAGTGGGAAGGAGAAAAAAGAGAGAATGATACTCGTATACAGACATACCACATTACAACATATATATTTCATTTGTTTTTAGTGGTGTTCAGTGGCAACACTGGTGAAAACCAGGGCGCACCTAACAAGAGACCCTCAAATGAATCATAAAGCCTGTTCCCCGTTGTTAGGTAACCAAACTTAGCAGATTTTTCTATGCTCCTTTGTACTGTAGGTTGCTAACATAATCTTATTTCACATTACCTGTATCATATCTGAACTTGTTCCTCCTGTTTATTGGAGCTTACGATGTTTAATCTGAGCAAATGATTAAAAACCAAGATGAGTGTGCTGCACTGCTCCAGTGGTGGAAGAAAAACTCAGATTGTTCACTTAAGTAAAAGGTAAAAGTAGTAATCATGCAGAATGGCACACTTCATATTAAGGTGTATGATATTATTGGATTATAATTATTAATGCATTATTGTGTATGTCACATTTAATGCTGCAGCTGGTGAAGGGGGAGCTCATTTTAAGCTTATAAATTGAATTACTACTGTGTAGCTTGTAAATTTCCCACCAAGGATAAATAAAGACCTATGTAGTGAAGTCTAAATGTGATGTAGAGGAAACTGAATCAGAATCAGAATCAGCTTTATTGGCCAGATGTGTTGGACATGAGGAACCTGACTCTGGTACAGCGGCTCTCAGTGCGTATGTACAATGCTCTTCCATAAGGCAACGAGTAAACAAGTAAACAAGAGCAGACTGAGAGAACAGAAAAGAAAAAGAATGTGCATTATGAAAATAAAAATTAAGTAGATATATACAAAAGTATATTTACAGGTATTGCACTGAGGGTTGTCATTCTGTTAATCGGTCATGACTTAAATTTTCATCAGAGTGATGGCCTGAAAGAAGAAACTGTCCTTATGTCTGGTTGTTTTGGCGTGCAGTGACCTCTAGTATCATCCAGAGGGGAGGGGTTTGTGTTCAGGGTGTGGGGGGGGGGGTCTGCAGAAATGGTCTCTGCCGCCTTTTTGACCTGTGAGGTGTCCAGGTCCTCCATGAAAGGCAGGCTGGCACTGATGATTCTTTCTGCAGTCCTGACTATCCAGTGAAGTCTCTTCCTGCCCTGTTTGGTTGCTGATTCAAACCAGACAGTGATGGAAGTCCAGAGAATATATTCAAGTGAAGTACACATTCATCAGAATTGTACTTAAGTACATTCTTTGCACTTTATACCTCTTCAATGTTCCATCAAATAAAATGAGTCTAGATGGGTTTGAACAATGTGTGGCCCTCCAACAGGCTCCTTTCCACTTCTGCATCTGCAGTAGTAGCTGGGAGACTCTTATTATTTTTGTTTTTTATCAGCAAACTCAGAGACGTGTGGGAAGAACACAGCAAGTGTTTATTTTTTACAACATAGACAATTTTTGTGTTGTTTTCAACAACACTTCAAACCACAAGCTGTCCATTCATTTGTGGGTATTTCAGTTTCTAACAACTCAGTTTTTGGCCTGGCATGAAAAGCAGAAATCTCTCCTGATAAACACAATAACAATATTATTCTGATGCAGTTGTCATTCAAGGACGGGATCTGGAGGGAAGAAATGTAACACAAAGCAATCATCTGTACTGCAGGTGATGTAAAGGTCTGAAAGTCAGAAGCTTGGCACTGTTGACAGGTGTGTGAGCCAGCGAGAATCAGAAACATGCAAGGAATGGTAACTTCAAGTCCTGAGGTGTCCTCCACTCAGATTTCTCACTGAGGCCTAACTGGGTGATAGTAAAATGTTCCCATGGGGCCCAAGGTGCACAACTCATAGGCTGTATCAGATATTACACCATAATTCATCAACAGTGCCCAAGGAATGCTTGATACAAGCTGGTACAAGACTTGCAATGGTTTCTTTTGCAGTTAATATGCAAATGACAGGATATCTCTGAAGACTCATGTCTTTGCATAGATGGATACATGCATTAATCCAAATTTCATTGTGCCACACATGTGCAAAGACAATAAAGGGATTGTCTTCTGTTGTATTTGTGAAAACATTAGCTTTGCAGATAGAGTTTAAATTAGAAGTACAGTATGTTCCTGAAGTTTCCATCTCAGCCCATGATATAACTAAGTAGTACATTCACTCATGTACTGCACTGAAGTAGTTTTAAGAATTCATCTTAATTGCATTTTACTCGAGTCTTTCATTTTCTGCTATGTTCTACTTCTAATTCATTAACACGGAGAGATAAGCTTGTTGCATTGGTAGTACTTTTACTTAAGTAAAGCATCTGCAATACTTCTTCCACTACAGTCAAATCATTCATGTGTCCTCAAAACCCTATCTGGGCATCATATCGCATGTACGTGACAGGAGAAGCCTGAGAAGTCCTGCATGTCAGAACAACACTGTGAAGATCTCTACTGCAGTTCATATGTTATTGTCAGGTCTCAACCTCTCAGTGCTGGAACACTGTCAGAAATGACATACCATGCTTTGGCAGATTGATTTGATTTATTCTTTCAAACATGCAGAACAAACGACATCAACACACACATAATTATACAAATCCAACCAATGCTGATTCAGAATCAGTTGTTACAACATGCACACAGAGACCTAAAGGAAAGCAGGTTTGACATTCTGTATTTCTTTGACTGTCAACAAATCCCACATAAAGACCAAAATCAAAACTCAAATGATTCTGCTAACAGGTCATTTCTGTGTAGCTGAAACTTAACATGGCTTATTGCTCTGACTTTCATATACTCTGTTACAAGCACTGGTGGAAGAACTCAGACCTTTTAGTTGAGTAAAAGTACCAAGACAATAATGTAAAAATACTCCAGCACAAGTAAACATCCTGCATTTAGATACAGTATATACAAAAAGGAACTGATCTTTCTGGAAGAAGTAACAAAACATAAAGTTTGAGAAACACCATTTTAATCATTAACAACAGATTATATTTTATTAGTGTATTTGGTTTTGTAAGGTAAAGT